GGGGGGAGCACGCGCAGTGGACAGAACCAACGGCGCACACAAGATTATGTTTGAAAGAGACAGGGCAAAAGAGGAGACCGGCCTATGAAGCCCGCGGCCCACTACGGGCTCTCGCATGAACCGCAAAACCTGCTTGCATACAGTATGTGCATAGCATAGCCTTCCTGTCCTGTCGCCGACTTTTGCCCATTCACATTTCGTACAATCGTCGTCACCTCGCTAGACCTTCTACACGTGTATCTTTTTTGCTCCTCGGCCGGACGTAACCCGCGCGTACCTTTACCCCCCTCCCTCCCCACTGCACCTGACTCTGACAGGCCTGGCCCTGGGAGCATTGACTCTTTGAGCTTCTCTTTGCTGACATCGACCTGAATTGGATGGAGCTGGAAAAAAGCCTGTTCGACTCCTCCTCCGATTTGGACCTCAATTGACCAACTGACCAAGCTGGCTAGCCGTCTCTTTCGACTGCGCGGCCCAAGCAAACGCGCAGAGACGAACGCAAATCCGCGCCTGACAGAAACCAACGGCCCAGGGCACCGACCCCAGATACGGGACGGATACCGGTAGTGTGCACTGCGCATCGCGTCTCCTCCATCCGTTCGTCCCTCCTCTCTGATCTTTCTGCTCACTGTCTCCCGTGCTCGACCGACAATCCAATCGTCAACCCTCGACTTTTCGTTCGGGACGGCGTGTTCCATCCAACGGTCGACGCTCTCTGTCGCCCTCCTTCGTATCCATCCATACCTCTCCCGCGTCCGCGCTCACGTATCCCATCATCGCGCATCCATCTATCCCCCATCTCACAGACTCACCCCCATTATCCATGCATGGTATGCCATCGCACCCCGGGCGATATCAAGCACATTCACGCACACCACACACCATTACACTCCCTGCATCTAACCAGACTACGGAGGTCGTCTACGTACACTGCACACCCTTGCTACCACCTTCGGCGTACCCTAGCCTGGTCAGTCGTGTCACAGCCCACGCTCCTCTCGTCCAATCGCCCATTCCTCCCGTGCTCCAGAGGCTCCACCGGACATCTCTGGGCTTGCTGAGCTGGCCGCCCACCTCTTCAAAGACATCCCGGTCCTCTCCACTCGCCTTGGCTGAAATCAATCCATCTTCTGCCGCCGACTCCCACGCTACTACTTACTACTTACTACTTTGCTACTTCGCTACTTCCACTACTTTACTTGATCCTCCTCACTACCTGTTGCCGCTCGCTCGCCTATTACATCTTGCCTACCCTCCTCTCCCTCGCGTGGTATCGTGCCTGATATCCCCTCTTTTCTTTTCAACCTTTCCGCAGCCATAAGCCGAATCTCACTCACACTCGCACACACTTTCACCACCACGTCCGGCATCAAAAGACATCGTGTCTATTCAACTCGGTCGATTTGCATACAAATCCGCCATCGCTCAGCTTATCGCATCGTGTCAACCAAGGTCGCAATTCGTCGCTGTACTTGGAATTTGACCGCCAAAAAGCCCCCTTGCATTCACGACCCACAAGTCATTTCCAGAGTCTAGACCCAACCAAGGTGAGCCATGAATCTCCTCACTTACTCTCCTCCCTTCAATCATGCGGAACCCCGTTCGGGCTCAGGAACCTTGGAAGCCGGGCCCCGTCAGGTCAAGAGAGTCAAGACCACGCCTGCAACTACTTATCTAACCTTATGCCTTGCGGATCGCTGACATGCCCTCCCGCTTACAGCCCGCTGCTTGCCGCAAACGCCATTAACACTTGTTGGAGACGATATCGAGCAGCTTAATCGGCCGACATGGCCAAACCAACACGCTACACCGGCTCCCATGAGCCTTTGCAAATTTACCAAGACGACTTCTTCGAGAACTCGACAGCAATGATCAACCACGCACCCATGCCTGCTGTTTCCAAGCCTCCAAGGAGACCACTCGGCGCAACAAGCAACAACAACGTTGTCCTCAACCCTCCCATGCTCGCGTCCGACAGACATTCACCCTTGAAGGCGTCGTCCGGCAACTCAAAATCGCCTCTTGCTCCGCTCAAGTCGCAAGGCAGCAAACTGAACATGGTACCAATGGCGCCGCCATCAGCAAACTCCCAGAACACCGATTCGCTGCACAAGAAGCCCTATCTGTCCAAGTTCAAGACCGTCGCACAAAAGCCTCCTTCCGTGGACCTCACCGCCGGCTTCGGGAAAGAAAACGTCCATCCGCAACTGTACCCTGCGCCGCCGACAATAAACTTCGACCAGTTCTACATGCACAAGGGCCCGGGCAAGCGCACACTGATGGAGGCTGCCCCTATCAAAGAGTCGAGACCGCTGAAGAAAGTAAAGGCCGACGAGTCCGGTCTGCCACCACACGATTCCTTTCCTGCGATTGTCGACGATGGAACGAAACCAGGACATAGTTACGCGACTTTGATCGGAATGGCCATCCTTCGATCACCACAACGGCGTCTGACCCTCGCCCAGATTTACAAGTGGATTTCCGATACCTACTCGTTTTACAAGGCGGAGGAATCGGGCTGGCAGAACAGCATTCGACACAACCTCAGTCTTCACAAGGCCTTTATTAAGGTTGAGCGACCAAAGGACGACCCTGGCAAGGGCAACTATTGGACTATTCAGGAAGGCATGGAGCAGCAGTTTATGAAGGACAAGCCGGCAAGGAAAACCGCCACGACCGCCGAGAACGTGCCCGTCATGTCGACCCGTATGGAGCCCTCTAGACCGGTAAATGTGCCCATCCAAGAGCCGACCCTTCCGCCTCCCGCACCCATCAGGCATGCAACGCTGCCGCCTCTGCCTACTTCGCAGGCTACTGTCGCCGTCGAGTTCTCGTCCGATGCTACCATTCCAGTCTCGGATTCGGCCGCACCGGAAGACGGACAAGACAAGCTGGATCACGAATGCTCACCTCTGCCTCCCACGATGCACTCTTCACCGCCAATCCCGCGACACATGGAGCCCCGCAGTCGTACGCCTCCGCCGCCTGGGCGCGGTCCCGTCTCTTCGATTACGAGATCGCACAAGAGAAAATTTGCGTCCATGGACGACAGTGGTTATATCTCATCCCTTGAGTCGTCGGCTCTGCGCCCACAGAAGACTGGCATTCTCACATCTGAAGCCGACCGTCCTCGGAAGCGTAGTCGCGCAGGCAGGGCTGAGGACGAGATTGCTCGCTTGCGCGCGTCGTCTTATGATAGCCCTAGCAAGGGTCGGTCATACAACGCGTTCGCCCCACCGTCCTCGTCGCCGCTCCGCCAGCAGGGCCAGATGCTGCCACCGCTTACACCAGCCATGAAGCTGAAACCACCCACGAAGGCCCCGCCCTCTGCGTCGCCCAACACCAACCTCCGCATGCACCGCGAAAATGTCCGCCAGATGCTCCAGTCTCCTATCCGCAAGATGGCTGGCACTGGTGAAGGCAATGCCCCGTGGAGTCCGGCCTTCAACTTGGACGAGAGCGTCTACAACTACAACCTCATGACGACTAATGATTTCGATATCTTCCAAGACATGGATAACGACTTCTTCGATGGCTTGCCTCAAGAGTCACCCTCCAAGAAGTCCGGCGGAAAACGACCGCGACCTGAGCGCACACACTCCGCCAATGCCTTGACCGATACTAATGACTCTGGCAACGGCAACAAGTCGGTGCTTTCAACGCCCTTTTTGAAGGCACCCGCGCAATCCAACGCCATGTGGGAGACTCCCAGCAAGGTTTTTGATGGGCTTTCCTCGCCCATCAAGGCCAACGATGGCTCTTCGCAATGGAGATTCCCCTCGCCGACCAAGATCTCCAGCTCTTTCTACGAGGTGGCGGCCGAGGGCGACTGGCCTTCCTTCTCCTTTGACACCACCGACTTCATGGCGGAAGAGGCTACCGAATACTCGGGTCTCGATATCCTGCAAGGCTTCGAGAAGATTGGCTCTGGCTCGCAACCCAAGTCTTCGGGTTCCAAGCCTGGCAAGCCCGCATTTGGACGGAGTTACACCTCGCAATTCTAATCTCATCTCAAAATGAGACCATTCCGTCTCATTGGCGCTGAGACATGACGACCGTTACGATGTATGAACGCACTTTACTGGCATGACGTCCTCGATGCTCAGGCATTCGCGCGACTGTTTCGACCCACACGATAATGGAGCGGGAACCAAAAAACACTTTGGACTGATTTGACTTTAAAGACTAATGTCTGATGCGGGCTTCGAGGCTTTCACAATTCTCTTGTCCATGATTGTTTGCTTTATGATAATGAACGAAGCAGTGCACATATTGTCTGGCTTTTTGGCGGGGAGGAACATCATTCTGGGGGAAAGCAGGGAGACATCGGATTCTGCTTTTTTTCCCTTTTGCCCCGTCCGATCGGACATGGGATCACATTCTCTATGGGTATGGCAGGAAATTTGATTTTTTTTTCGTTTGGGCTAGAATGGCCCTATTGTTGTATTGTGTGTAGTAGAACATGGACTGGATGGACAGCTGTGGCAGAACATGATTCTCGCTACTTGCTGAGAATATTGGCAGTGATCAATTTTAGTACTGAACACGCACTTGGCAGACATTAGAATCAGTGAGATGACTATTCGCCGATCTCCACCACAGCAGTTTACTCTGTCCTCACACGTATCTTGACATATTACACGTATGACAAACTCATCGTTGCTGAACTCACTTTGTTCCTGGATCAAGATGCTCTACACGTACGTCGATAATTTGGCTTGGTCATGAACTCAGAAACGGGTATCTTATCGAAATGCTCTCTAAATCCGCATTGCCCAACATCGTCTATGTCTTTGTTAAAATCTTTCGCCTTGTCCAGAACTCATAAAAACGCCATGTTTACCCTTTCCTACATCTCCCTGCCGAGCCGTGCCGGGGTCCTGTTTCATCACAAAATAAAGGAAACGCATTCACAATCATTGCCTCTTTCATAGCCACTGCCGACACCATACCACTCACATCTCAGATCTCAGAGGCTGGGGTTGAGTATCGGCTTTCTGTCAGTATATGCCCATCCTCGTGGCCCATCCGGATTCCTTTTGATTGATGTTAATCTGGTAGGGGAAAGGGTTCGATCCCTGCGTGGTTATCGGAGGGATGTGGTCCTTGTGGGCATTGACGAAGGTGATGACCTTCATAACGGTCGTCATGAGGGTCTGTTCCATGGCCTTGCGGACCTTTGCGCGCTCTGTTGTGCCACCAAGGTCAGTCAGTATTCGTCTCCCTCCTCCAAGGTACAAGTCCAAAAGAACATGAGGGCGTGTAGTAGGAACACCAACCAGTCTCCGTCCTGGGCTCGGCGACGGTGACCTTGACGGTCCAGCACTCCCAGCAGACCTCCTCGTCGCCGCGCATAAGCCAGGCCTTGCGGCGCTTCTTCTCAAAGAACTGGACGTTGAGCTGGCCGCGCCCTCCCCCGCCGCCGCCCGAGCCCGTCGAGGTTGACGATGAGGAGCGCTCAGCATCGAGCTGTCGGACGAGTGCGGTGGCGCGTTGCTCGATCATGGTCTCGAGCTCGACATCGTCGACGTAGGGAAGGGTCAGGTCGAGCACTTCGCGCGTATAGGGGACAACGGCGGGGAAGAAGCGGTGGAAGAAGATTGTGTGGAGGATTCCTGCGAGCTTGGTTTTAGTTTCTGGCTGTTTAGGATAGGCATGTGTCACTAATTTTTGCGCCCGCGTGTGCGCGTGGGGAGGTTGGATGCGGGCATCGTGGCGTTGAGGTTCGGGGGTTTGTTCGTTCGTGAGGGATATGACGTCTAGCGGGGCTGCCGCTGCGGGCTGCGGGAAGGGAGGAGTGACATAAGGGGGGAACGGTTTACCTTTGACGACATCCCGTACGGAGGCCGGGTCGGCGAAGGCGTCTAGGATAAACTCGGGAGGGGTTTGCTGCTGCATCTTGCCTGGTGAAGGGGATTATGCGTTTGTATGTGGTTTGGTAGGGCGGTGGTGATGGTCGTTGGACAATGCGGCTGGCGCGAGGCGTAGGAACGAGAGCCGTAACCGAAGTCAGCAGTGACAACCGACTTCTCTGATAGTGATAGGGAGTTAGTGTCAGATGCTGAGGGGCAAAGCTCAGCCCAGTGCAGATGCGCCGCATCGATAAGGGGCGGGCGGACACAGGAGAGGGGATGGGTGATGGGGGATGGGGGATGGCCCGGGGACAAGAGAGGAGGGATTAGAGGCAGGGATGGATGGGCATTCACCCCGAGCTGGGTCCCGGGGAGGAGAGTGCCTGTGGTCCTGTGCAGTAGCAGTGTGGGCAGTGGGCGGTCGCCGGTACCTACGTTGTATGTATGTTGTAGGTACCTTGGGCGGCAATGCGTTTGTGGTGTCGAGGTGCGGTACCGGTCGGTGCTTGGGAGTGCTTCAGCCACACCTGCTGGGAACTCTGGAAGGTCCACGGGCATGAATTAATGATTTGACGCGGGTCGCGGTTGTGGCTGGGCCGAGGTAATCACGGTTCACGACTCGCAGAGCAGCAGCAAGCAGCAGCAACCACAGCAGCGGCAGCTCTTTACTGCCCCCCAGGTCATTACGTTGCCGACAAGCCTTCCTGGAGCTCACCTAGAACATCCAATCTTGGGTGCACTGGGAGAAAGGACAATCTCGATTTTCTCCTTACCGAAACTCTCGACCTTTAGTTTCTCGAACTCTCTCTTTTGCGAGGTCAATCGGGTTCTCCCTGATTCATTAGTGTTCTTCCCTTCTATTCCCCAGTTAGGTTTTTTTTTTATTACAACATCTCAGCACTCATCCAATCCAACCCAACCTTACCTTTGCCGACGCCTCGCATATCCTGTAGCCGCGGCGCATATCATATTACCATGTTGGAAGCGACTCGGCGATGGTTCCGCCGGAATAGGACGCCTCTTGCCATCGGCGTCGGAGTCGTCGGCGCTGGCTACGTCGTGACGCAATATGTTTTGGGCAAGATCAACGATGCGCGGGAGCGCATGGGCAGCGACCGTATCGCAAAGGAGAAGTGAGTCTCTCCCCCTCTTTTCACATCCCTGCTTCCATTCCGTTCTTCATGGGAACTGTTGAACTAACACGAGACCGCAATGGGAGCAGTCTCCGCCGTCGATTCGAGCAGAACCAGGAGGATTGCACCTTTACCGTCCTCGCCCTCCTCCCTTCGGCAACGACCAACATCCTCGAAGCCATGAACACGGAGAAGATCACGTATGAGATCCAGAAGATGAAGGGTCAGACAAAGAGCCTCAAGGCCGGTGAGAGCGTCAGCCCCCCAAGCATCGCGGATACCACCATGACCGAGGACGACGGCCGGAGCATGGTCAGCAGCAGTGTTCAGAGCGAGAGCGGCGTGCACGCGAGCATGGTGACAGTGCCGAGCGCGACTTCGGCACCCGCGGGAGGCGCCGAGGGTGGTGCATCGCAGGATGGAGGCGCTGCGGCGGCGGCGGCGGCGCAGAAGAACAAGAAGTCCAAGAGGCAACTGTGGGACGACTTAACGATAAGCTGTGAGTGAAGGTCAATGAACTTGATATGTGTAAGGGAAATGCTGACAACAAGTGTAGCCATCACAAGAGCGTTCACATTGCTATACACTCTCGCGCTGCTGACAATGCTGACGAGGGTCCAACTCAACCTCCTCGGCCGTCGCAGCTACCTGTCGAGCGTGATATCCCTCGCTACCGGCACCGCGCAGGCCACCATTAGCCTCGAAAACAACGACGACGATGGCCTCGACCAGCCCTACGGCAACGACTTTGAGACAAACCGCCGGTACCTGACTTTCAGCTGGTGGCTCCTTAATGAGGGGTGGAAGGAGCTCAGCCAGCGCGTCGAGGCCGCCGTTCGCCAGGTCTTTGGCCACCTCAGCCCGCGCGACCTGCTCAGTTTCGAGCAGTTCTCGGAGCTGACGCTTGCGGTCCGTAAGATCATCGAGGGTGCCACCCCTGAGGAGCGTAGGGCGGCGACATGGCTGCCCTACCTCCTCCCGCCGCGGGACCGCGAGGATCACGTCCTGCGTGAGTCGGGCATTCTCGAGGAGAGCATCGTAGTGCTGTCCGAGAGCACCACGTCGCAGTCGCCGTCGTCGTCACCCGCAGTGAGGAGGCTCCTCGATGAGACGTCGGACCTTATCGAGTCCCCTTCCTTCACGCACGTACTCACCCTTATCCTCGACGCGGGCTTCTCCCTACTTGTGGACAAGAAACTCGCGTCCGCAGCGTTCGATAAGCCCGACCTGGCGCAGTCTGAGCCGCGAACATCACAGGTTGTGCTACTGCCCAAGATCCTCTCGGTGCTCACGCGGCAAGCGCACGTCATTGGCAACGGCATGCCTAACGAGTATCTCCAGGAGATGGAGCAGGTAGCCGACCTCGAGGGGTTCGCGGCCGTAGTATATTCGAGCAACTGGGAGAACGAGATTCACGACGATGAGGGTGGCATCATGGCGAGCGCCGTGGACGTAAGGGCGAGCCAGGGTACTACGACCGCCACCAACATCCCCAGCCAGACGCAGGGGACGACGCAGGGGACCGGGGAGGAGAGCGTCGTCATGGTGAACCCGGCAACCAGCTTCGAGAGCGCATGGGGCCGGGCTGTGGATAAGAAGTAGGGATGAGTCCAACATTTTAGGAATACAACCTCCGCTTCGAACATGATTTTGATGCGCGAGCTGAGTATATGACCAATCTAATGAGTATCATGGGTACGGCGGCACGGACGGATGGGCAAAGCTGGGTACGAGAATTATGAGGTATCGATTGTATAATTCTATGGCAAGAGAAAGATGGATCATCTCGAATCTGTACCAATATCACGGGGTCTAGCCTAGAACAAAAGACAGTGGCTCCGTTCTTTTCTTTCGGTCTATCCCGTACTGACGTATTCATCATGGGATTTGGTCTCTTATCGTGACGGGCTCCCGTTGACCAAGGTATTCGGCTCCATGTTCGGTCCACGCTCCCCTGAACTCGAGCTTGAGCTTGATATCTAGACCCTCTGTGGCTTCGTCTTTCGCGCATGAGATTCTCTTCGGAGCGAGTCGAACGAGAGCCGGTACAAGAGGCAGCTAGTTTCGGGTCTGGTCTTGGGACCACGTGTCGTCTTTCGTTATGTTCTTGTATTCGATGCTCTATGGCAACGGGCTCCCATCACATCAAGCCCCTGACGAACTGGTCCAGACCAAGCTCGAATAATTCGTTCTTCACGCCCTCGCCGCCTTTGTGCTCGGCCGGTGACAGGGGGTTCTTGACGACTGCAGCATACGTGTCAGTAACCGCTTCCCGGTTCAGGCTTTGGCTATCGGATCTCTCGCCCGGAGGTAGGTAGAAACCTACCGTATTCAACCCAAAGGTTAATGTAAATCTGATGCAACACGTTGCGCATGCTCATAGTGCCCGTGTCGGTGAGCATGACGAAGCGCAGGTTCGAGGGCGTCTCGTAGTAGTGCAGCTTGTAGGCCGAGGTGCGGTAGCTGATGAAGGCGTCGTCGTCGCCGCCGAGCTTGCGGACCATGTTGCGCAGCGAGAAGACGGTGCCGAAGATGAGCTTGGCGTCGTCCTTTGCCGAGTTGACCTGGCTCCGGCGAAGCTGCTGTGATGGCGGGCCGCCCGAGTTAGGCGTTGTCCCTGGGACCGGGAGGGGCGTTTGGGACGGCGGTCGCTCGGCGGGGAGCCATGTTTTTGAGTAGATGCATTCCGTGTGCCGGTCGAAGATGTAGAAGGAGTAGACGACCATCGTGGGCGGGCTGAGGCGGCGCCGAGGTGCGCCGGGTGGGGGGAGGATGTCGGTGTGAGGCGGCGGAGACTGGCGATATCAGGGGCGCATGCCGTTGAGGGATCGTATGCAATGTATCTCGAGGGATCGAATGTCAGATTGGGGTGTCGATGCCGTCGTCAATGTGTTTGTTGGTCGTCGGAGGAGCTGAGTATCACGGGTCGGGGGACTTGCAAAGTCGCAAGAAGCACGGCACGTAGCTCGGGCCAGCCGAATGAGCGGTGGTCGTCGTTCAGTGGTCCCAGTCCGAAAATGCGGCTACTGTTGCTTTGCCTTTTGGGGGGTGAAATTGCGACCTGCTACCCTGGAGCTGGAGCTGGCCCGGTTGTGTACAGGGGCCTAATGACGGGGGCTCTTCTTTCGGGTGCTGCCTGTGCCTTGTGGTGGAGCTTCCATGGATTCATTTGACACCCCCCGGACGGAACGTAATCCTTTGCGCGCACAGGAGGGGTTCGCGCTGGCCCTACGAGGGATCGCTAGTCAGCCCAAAAGGGTGATCCAGTGAGTGGAGGGACCTGCAAGCTACAATGTGCCCAATGACAGCGGCTGGGGACGCTGAGATTTGACGAGAAACTGACGCGGTCCGGCATGGATGAGATGGATAGAACGGAATCGTAGGGCGCTGAAACTGGGGACTTGATCCTCAGAAAACCTGACGTGGGGGCTGAATAGGTGACCCCGACGCAGCTGAAAGCAAGGAACGCCTGTTTTTCTGTCGCCCACCGTCACTCCTCGATTTAAAGCCCAGCTCGTCGTCTCGTTCTCGCAAACTCCTGCCCTTGCATTTAAATACTTTGAACGTCGTCGAACGTCGCTTTCGGTTTCTCGCGCTTCGAGTTCAAAACGGCGCCAGCTCCGTCCACGCCGCTGCGTGGCTTGGCCGTGATTACTTTACCAAAGCTTCGGAAGCTCCCACCCCCACCTATCCAACCATTTGTCTTCTCCAACATCACTTCAAGCTTCTTTCCCCCCTCCATCTACACCTCCGCAGGTGACGATGACAGACTCCGGCAACCCTCAGAGCCCGCCGACGACGGCCATGGCCTCGACGTCCATCGCGGCCCCCGACATGCCCTCGCCTGCCATTGCAGTAGGGTTCCACGGCGAAGGTACCGCCGAGACTCGCCCGCCGCTCGCTTCCTACATGTACGTCAGTCATTCAGGTTACTCTGTCTGCGCTGCCCTGCGCTGCAACTTGCACTGCCTCCCCCGCGCTCCACCACCACGCAGCGAAATAGATTTAACCTCCGTCGCAAACGCGGTGCAGATCCGATTCGACAGCCCAGCCAACAAAGTTCCAGAGCCCCTTGCGACACCATCGACGAACGCCCTCAGCCCATCGTGAAGTCAAGGTGCGTCTGCGTCAAGCTTGTCCGACCAACCCTACTGCGCAGTGATGTGTGGTGGGGGCGGGGTAGCGACGATGACACAAGCCGGACCTCCAAGAACTCACCGATGCTAGGAAACGCTCAATGCCGTGACGGAATACGGTACTGAAAGTCACGATGGCTCAAGCCACCACCGCATTAACCAGTACATCATCAAAGAGGAGATTGGTCGAGGATCCTACGGCGCCGTCCACCTCGCAACCGACCAATTCGGCACTGAATACGTATGAGCTCCTTGTCCCAATTGAGATTCGCACTAACATCTTGCAGGCTGTCAAGGAATTCTCAAAGGTTCGTCTCCGTAAGCGCGCCCAATTCAACATCCTTCGGCAAGGCGCTCGCCGGCCACAGCGCTTCGCCCACCGTGTAAGTCTCAACGCGCCTCTCTCGCCGCATTTTGGGGACTTTGGGCAAGAGAGCAAGGCTGGATGGAACGTCAACGACGCGCTCTTCTTCATCAGGGAGGAGATCGCTATCATGAAGAAGCTGAACCACCCGAACTTGGTCCAGCTGATCGAAGTGCTCGACGACCCGGAGGAGGACTCGTTGTACATGGTTCTTGAAATGTGCAAGAAGGGGGTTGTCATGAAGGTCGGACTCAACGAGAAAGCCAAGCCATACGATGAAGATTCGTGCCGTTACTGGTTCCGGGACTTGATCTTGGGCATCGAGTACTGTAAGTTGTCTCTTGAACTGTTTGTAGCCAAGCTGACACGCCATAGTACATGAGCAAGGCGTCATCCACCGTGACATCAAGCCAGACAACCTTCTCCTCACAGAGGATGATATTCTGAAGATTGTAGACTTTGGTGTCTCGGAGATGTTCGAGAAGCCCGACCAGGGTATGAAGACGGCCAAGTCAGCTGGATCTCCCGCTTTTCTGGCACCGGAGCTTTGCGTGGTCAGGCATGGCGACGTCGATGGCAGAGCAGCTGATATCTGGTCCATGGGCGTGTCGTTGTACTGCTTGCGCTACGGAAAGATCCCTTTTGAACACGAGGGCGTGCTTGAGATGTACGAAGCCATCAAGACGGAATCCCCCGAACTACCAGAAGATGAAAATCCCGACTTCGTAGACCTGATGAACAGAATTCTGGATAAGGATCCCCAGAAGCGAATCCAGATGTCTGAGCTGCGGGTGGGTACAAACGCTACGCTGAGCTTTTGGTGGTGCTGACGGTGAATAGGAGCACCCATGGGTGACGAAAAAGGGGACTGACCCTTTGCTGTCAAAGGAAGAAAACTGCTCAGTCATTGTCGAGCCCCCAAACGAGCTTGAGCTGAGCCGCGCCTTTACGCGGAAAATGAACCATCTCCTCTGTGTTGTACGTAAGCATGCCGAAGTTGAGATGGGGGAAAACTGACAATGAGTTCAGATGAAAGCAATCCACAAGTTCAAAGGTATTCTCGCCAGACAGAGGCAGAACTCTAGATCGTCAAGGGATGGGAACTCTGCCCCCTCTACCCCGTCCGTTGATCCAATCCGGGAAGACGCGCGGGCGGAAGACATTGAGGCCTTGATTGCAAAGCGTCGCGAATTCTTGAAGCAGCAAGGTGTTCCTGTCGCCAACGATAAGCCGGAATCGGAGCCGCTTATCCTCGGTATCGGCGTTGGTGCCCGGGACGAATTCGACAAGGACGAGCCCTCTGCTGGTGACGTAGCCGAGTCGCCGACCAACGTCGACTTTAACATCTACGACAAAGCCTATGAGGCTGAGGTGGAGCGCATCATGAAGAAGCCGGCGCGACAAACGACCATGTACTTGACGCGTTTCGTCAAGGACCGGGAGCATTACAAGGAGGTAGCCAACGTCGTGGAAGGGACTTCCGCAGGCGTCACACCCGCGGGCACGCCGAAGGTCGACAGCCATTTGACCGCATCGAAAGGGCGGTTTGCAGATCTGGTCTCCAGCATGACAGGCGGTTCAAATTCGCCGACTGGTGGGGAGGGGAGGACCTGAGATAGCAAACGTATAAACGTGCCTGGAGAATATGGCCTGGCGTTAGACGGAAGGCATCGGGATCTTTTGTCTGGTATTCCCTTTCTCCTTTTTATATATGATACCTGTTCGTGTCCAAGACTTGGGGAGGCTTGATCAAGGTCTCCGCCCAAGGACTCATTGCTCTAGTGTTCTGGCGTGAGTTCCAAGAAAGTGGTGCGATGCTGGGTGGTGTTGATGATGATGCCATGTCGACTGGATACGAATGCAGGTAGAGGGGGAGTTGAGGATGCACCTCCCTCACTGACAGGCCGTTGTGTTCTTCACTTGGACAAAGTTATCGTGAGGCCTTCCGCATTCCAAGGGCCAATGTGCTCTGTACTTCTACTTCGAAAGGCTTGCGTTTCCAGCCAGGTGAAATTGACCGGCGGGTGGCAAGGCTCTCCTCAGGTGCGGCAAGGTTGATTTCACTTGAACCCGCTTGGACTGCTAGGTTCTTCACTCTCGTACAACGCCAACCCAATACGCGCTCCGGCATTAGAGGTCTACCTCACGATTCGGGATCGCTTTCCTCTTCTTTTCCTTGAATGACACTACAAAGCAAAAAGTCCCCTCAGTCTACTTTGATGTTGGTATTGCAACTTTCAGGACACCTTGGCCATGACCACGCTGTCCTCTCCTGGTATAACAACAAGCACAGCCACCACGCTCTGATAGAACAAGCACTACTGACTGAGTCTACAAGCTTTTTTGTATATCTTGTGAATATGTTTCCGTGGTCATGGATGCCCTCGATGAAAGCCCTAGGAAGAAGCCTCGCAAGGGTGTATTTGACGTGCTCGTAAACGTACGTATACGGAACGAGATGGACATGCACCTGCTGTTTACCAGCCAAGACAAGTCCAATTTTTTTCGATACGCTAGAACTATTGTGAGATCAACAAACCAGAAAGAACGATAAAGTTTTCGACAACGCACTTGTATAATAGATTTATCAGCACCTCCGGCACGGCTGACAGCTTCGTGAACGGGCCGACTACCGGGAGAGTATTGAAACTGTTCTAACGGAACCACTAAAGGAGCTTTGAGGACCAACATAGGTTCAAGAGTACGCTCACTGGTTCTTTCTCAGATTCCAGTGGTTAAACTGCTACTAACAGGATACTGCATTTAAGAGTCACACATGGGTCTTCCTCCAATGGTGTCATAATTAGATACAGACAGTAAGGTTCAAGATGCTAACTCCAAAGGCAATGGAAATGCTCTGCTAGGAAGAGCAATTAGCTTCTATGGGTGCATTGTTCTATGTCGGGTCAACCATGGCGCAGACAAGAACAGCGAGAGTGGCTGGTTCAGCCTGAACAGTGTGGGATGCTGCTGCCATTGGGGCTATTTCAAGTTCAACCATAGCTACGTACCAATAGAGAACGCTACTCTAAGATATCTAACCGTAGTAATGCATTACTTCTTATAATTCAAAAGGCAGACGGATTAGTTATAGGTAAAATAATTTAATGGCTGTTAGTGGAATCTTTATGGGCTAATAGAAGTAAGCCGAACTAGTCAGTCACATTGAATAAAAGTGCCTGCGAAGAATCTTGTCTACGTATGGTTTCGTCATGACCCCCTATTGGTCGCTATCTAGACGCAAGGATAGAAACGAGCCAGCGCCATATTCTAGCAGCTTCTTTTCAATCAGGCCTGCTATATCCCCAGCATTGCCTAAGCGGTACTCATAAACATCTACCATATCACCAGTATCTGAATAAGCCTGCTCAAAAGCATGTTGATGCGGCGCAGACCTCCATATCTCAAGCGGGGTCATTTGACTTAGAATCTCAAAAGGTTTCAACTTGCTGTTTTTCGGCCAATACTTAGCATTCAAATTGCCTACGGCGCTCGGCCATGCTCCGTTTTCGAGCAAAATCGACACTCCCTCTAAGTCCAAACAAGCAACAGAAATTTGCAACGGTGTAGCTAGAAACCTATGGAAGTTTGCTTGTGTCCCAATGTCTAGAGGCTTCCGGAGTATACACCAGTCTTTGCAGCCGCATTTGATACTGTTGGTCTCTTCGTGGTAGTGCTAAGAAATACAAGAGACGAGTGCTGTCTCATAACTGAATGACCCAGCCCAAGTTTTTACGAGAAACTTGAAGGGTTGATATTTCTCATGCAGAACGTTGCGAAAAAGTCGACAAGAGAGGCGCGGAAGTGCCACTCAGTTTCTGGGTACAATCCGCCATTCAGCATATCGTATGTGATGTCAAGCTCTGCGTGTAAGAGATTTGCAGGGTCGTTTTGTATAATCAACTGTCCCAGATTCACAGCACCTACGTGAAGCAGATAGGTTAGAATCCGGACTTGAGGATAGGGTAAGCTATTCCATTTCAAATATCCAAAGTCGACGTTAATAAAACAGATATTTGACCAGTCCACTAGGCATGGGTAACTGACAAGTCTTCGAAGTAAATATAAGAAGTGGTCACTCCCTATGACTGGTGTCGTTATGAGGCTGGCGAAATCTGTTCTTTGTGACAAAAAAAGATCATGGCGCTTGATCATATCTACCGCTATTAGAGCACAGTATGCCGGAAAAGTTGGTGTCCACAAATTGAAACCGTCTTTAGCATCTGTCTCTTCGAATTTCTCAAAGTTGGCAAAGCCGAAAGAGCAAGCCTTCTGGAGGATAACCCCCGCCCGATTGAGCAGAGATTCTTTGTCGTTGAGTCTGAAGATTGAATTTGGCCGGCAACGAAGTGGTGAACGAAATGGTGATGCGAGATGCTCCATAACAGTGTAATGAGCATGAATGATATCTTGCCGTTCCAATAGCACCCCATCTTCTCGCTCGTAATGCTCGACTGTCACCGTAATGAGACACCCACAGAGTTCGCGGAGCAGTTCAATGTCGTACAAGTACTCTTGTCTGCAAGCATCCGAACGCTTTAAGTCGTTTTCGATGGCGCCAAGCAATACGGGCCCAGTAATCTCGTGTCCAACGATTACCTTGCTGTTGAAGCATATACATTCAAGCGCTGAATCGACAATTAGTCGGTCGTCCTCGGAAATAATCTGAAATACCCTGTCGTATGCATCGTCTAGAGTTTTGGGTAGATTCTTCAGCTCTTTTCTGATTGCTCCTCTGGTTTGTTTTATTCGTCGTAGAGCGTCGATTTGACACACTACCCAACGAAACCTGACAATCAGTTAAATTTAGCTCGCCATGACTTTTGAACCTAGATATGCACTTACATTCCCTTAGCACCGCCTGACAATGCTTCCAGCGCATCATCCCTTAAGTCCTGCGGCCAATTCTTTATCTTGTCATGGCTGTTCAGGCGAGACTGCACATAAAGCCGGATATCACCGTCCAGGTAGTTATTTTGCATTGAGATCTCTGTTGATATACGTCTCATGGACTATTCAATGTCTAAGTATTCGCGGCTTGTAACAAGCAGTCGGACGTTAGAGAACCTCGAGGCCGAAGTCAGATCTTTAATGACCTTGAGAAGTGCAATTCGTGGATTACTCTCGTCAATAGCGTCAACTGTGACGAAAACCTTGTCGAAATGGACAAGAAAAGCCTCGAGAGCCGCAAGGAGACCGTCAGGGCTGGGCTCGCTACCATTCTGAAATAGCCTCCATAGGCGTTCATAAATATGGTTCGCCTTCCTGCAGACACGACCGAGGAGCCGCTTAAGCAGGGGAATGGACTCGTCCCGATCGTGACCAAAGTAGCAGTAGTATTGAACACTGACAGAGCTTAGGTTCGTGGGTACAGATTTTTAGCAATGTTCTTCAATGTTCTTGAAGAGCTGTGAAGCCAAGACAGTTGTACCGGCTCCAGGGATCCCGTGAATCCAGAGGCAGCGTACTCCCCCTTCCTTGGACTTGGACCATTCTGGATGGCGCAACATCCAGCCACAGGTGCCAGTTTCGTGGTTTTCGCAAGCCTGATAGTGTATTGACGAAGGGTCGATATCTTTGAGCCAGCTATGGACGTTGTTTCTCTGAGATACTGCCACAATAATTGATAAACCTTGAATTTATTGACCAGCGTGTGAACTGCGACCAGTACATACCAGCAAGAATCTGCTGGATCTGGGTGGTATGTTCTCGAATTTTCTTTATATCATGACTAAACCCTCGATCAGAACTACGGCACGTCGTTGGTTGATTGGCGAGATCTAGTCCGCCTATACTCAAGGCTATTGCGCGCGATACTTACATGGAGTCTGCGGGGAGGGTGAAAGTGATGGTATACTTATGTCGCGCAATCTCCTCAAGCAGCTTTTTGGCTTTGGTGGCTTTCAGTGGCCAAGCCAAGGACGTAGGTATGCCTTCGACCCGCTGTTTTTTCGATCTGCCGAGCCCTTGTGTCTGCGTATTGCCATGATTGGGCTGAAGCAGATCTTCTAAGCTGTGAATAGCGTCATGGCAACCCTTCACTGGCCCTGAAGTCCCAAACAAGCTGTCCAGCATTGATGACTTGCCCACTTCACATCTTAAAAGCAAGTCGATATTCTCAAGTATCGTCTCGACAGCTATGGTTTCGACCAGGATTGCTCGAAGGTCTGACGGTGCGTCCCGGGCGCTTTCAATGTAGTGTTTGCAAAGCATGACTACCCTGTCTGCGATATGAATCGTAGCGAATACACTCGCGACGAGACCGGAGGCTTCCGCCATTGTCAAGTCTCAGCTTGAAGAAAAACAGAGGTCTATAGCTTTGGGACAACTAGATACTCAGACTATACTCAGTATATGTACACCTCGGTGGAGAAGCTGGTTAGACGACTGAACTCTAGAGCAGCCTGCTGCCTGCATTCCATTGCGGACGCAGTTCATTCTCGTCCTGTGCCGGCACCTCCCCAACATCGCCATCTAGCTTAGGAAGCAAAATGTTGATCACCTCAACCACGACCCCAAGCAGCACAAAAACGGCCAGGACCTGCCCAAATGTCCATTCCTTCTCCTCTTCCGAGAGATGGTTACGTTTGACAATCTGCTCCAACGTGACAATCATGTAGACATTGATGCCAGTTTGGATAAGGAGCTGCACCACCTGTCCGGATACGAGGTTTCGTTTGTATTTTGGGTCCGAGACCTTGATCCGGGCGACGACGTTCTTCAGAGTCTCGACATCTGGGTTCACCTGCCTCGCCCACTTCATGCCCGACCTTACGCCTCCGCAGCAACAGTGAGCTATGAAGACGTAGATTACCATGCTGAGAACCCAGCCAACGGCCATAGATGCCATTAACGCCAGGATCACGTAGCGGAAGACGTCGTTGGTGGCGTGGAGACTCACGCCGAAGACGACGTAGAAAGTCGACGCATTGCAGTCTGGCTGGCTCCCGAATGTCGGCGCGGTTACCCAGATGTATGCGGTGAGTGCGGTGAAGGCGCAGGCAATGATGACCCGAAGCGCTGCCATAACAAGCCATCGATTCACCCCACCGCCTTGATACTGCCGCTGCGCGACGAGGCCGAAACCTAGCAGCGAGAGAAGATGCAGCACGCAGATGGCGTGGAACAGTGTCAATTGCCCTTTGAAAGTCTGGTACACGGCGGTACAAAGCAAGGCCAGACCCTGAAGTTGCAGCGCTGAGTTGATAGACTGGCAAAACTCGGTGTAATTCTTCTCGGAGGTGATCCGTTGGATAACGGTCTTGAGTATGCCGGAAGCCAAGCAAAGAGCGTAAATTGAAGCGCGGATCTATGGCATAGTCAGCATGTAGGAGAGGTTTAGTGGAACGATTTCACGAACTCCAGTCCCAGTCACATCTGGGTTTGCTTCAATCACGCAGACTCCTGGCGTTTGCCCGCTTTCAGCCATCGTGGTAGCGTTAGAAATGTGGATACTGGGCAAGTAGTGCTCGTACTGTGATTACCAAGTGCGGTTTCATACTTGCCATCTTTGAATGTCCAGACGGACATGGCCTTATTAGGAAGCCATAACAACGAAGACCTAAGTCCGAGGCAGACCTACAACGGGTCTTGTGACTCCCGTTAGGCATCTGTCAGCCTCACCTCCACGAAAGGCAAGACATTCTGCCGCGAGAGCCTGCGCCCTCTTTTGGTGTTAGTCTCGATACGTCTTAGCTCTGTTCCGAGTCGAGCATATGCATCCAATATAAAAGCTTATCAAGGAAAAAGTCTATTGCATACTCTCTTGGCATTCGAGAAATGGAAATATACAATGTACCTATTGACGCGCCGTTCAGCCTCAGCTGAACCATGAAGAGACACGTTTTGCAGAGAAAACCGCCTGTTTTTTTCTCAAGCCAACCCCTTTTGGTTTTAGCCACAGTTACACCCAGGCACACGACGTCCAATCCAAGTGCTCGTCACACCAAAAGGGGAAAGCCCCCCTTCTCTGGGTGTAGGAGGCACTGCAAGGTGTTCGACAACATTGACAACTCAGCCCCAGGCAAGAGAAGCAAGAATCTTTACACTGTTTCAAGCCGGCAATTGGGTCGACCAGGGTAAAAGCTTGGTTTGGTAACGCTTTTCAAATATAAAGTATAGTTTCGCTACACATTTGGTTCCTCAACATCACAAGATAAACCGCAAACATCAACTTCCCAACATGGCACAAGGTCGTCAGACACCGTCAGCTCCTCGGAGAAGCGCAGATGCTTCATCTATCGAAGAGATAGATCGAGGCAGCATTCGAGTTGTACAACAGGGCAGCGTCGAAATCCAGCCACCGTGTGTCGCAGTGAATAGTGCACCATGGCGAGCTAGTGAGTACTCCAAGCCGAACGCTAGAAACAATGACTAACACTCGGCAGTCTGGGGATTTGGCTTGCTCGCCATCGTCGATATGGCTATGAACGCCGGTGCTGGAGCGGCGGCGGCGAAAGTCGGCTCTGAGCTCAACGGAATCCCTGCAACAACCAAGGCCATCCAGATCGGGGCCCTTACAGGGCTGACGAAAGCCGTGCTGACGACGTTCCGAGAGATAGTTCTCATGAACGGCGCCAACATGGTTTTCCGTGTCCTCCTTTTTTTGATCACGTCCTCGTTCGGCATCTGTCCCCTTTTGATGACGGAGGTGGGCAACATCCTCCTTAAAGACAGTAAGTCGCCGTTCCACCCGACCCCGGTAACGATGGGAGGCATGATCTAATAGGGAAACAGCACCTAAAGAACTCGTGGTTGCGGCAGTCGTAGCAGCCGTCCCGCTGTTTTTCGAGGCAGTCCGCGACATCAAGCCCAAGCCGGACGAAGAAGGGGAAGTGAACTACTTTCGCTGGGTAAGTGGACCTTGGTGAACTTGATGCCATTTTGCGCACCTTCTTTTACATACGGCGGTGTTTATTAGATTACATGCGAGTCCCACAACAGCATATGCAACTGTTCTGACTCATTTGTAGGCATGGGCTGTATTTCTAATTGCTACAGACGCGCTTGGCGGCTACGTTTTTGCGCGCATGGCTTCAAATCAAGGTAGGCACAGAGCATCTATTACACCTAGACTGTCGGCTAACGATGCCTTCCTAGGCATGCCCATCAGTAACTATCATGCGGCCTGCTCAGCTGGTGCTGTCTACGGCACCCTTACTTTCCTGGCGCGCGCCATGACCGGCTGCGTCGCGCTGGTCCGGCATCAAACCAACGACGGGAAAGTCTCGGACATATTCGGAGTTTGGGAAGTCGTCCTCCCAGACAGGATCGTTGTCTCTGAAGAAGAGTATCAGCGAATGCAGCGAGGCTTAGGGGCAACGCTCACCCAACTCTTCCGTGCGTTGCCCGTATGATGAGCTCTATGCTCAGTTGCTGCTGCTGCTGCTGTTTGTGCTGTACCAGGAGCCGCAAGGCGGTCAGGGAAATGCAGGAAACGGCTTTTGATGACATCGAAGCGCATGCCCAAGACGCTGGCAATACAATGGCACAGGGATTCTTTATTGCAATGACTGGAAATCCGCAGCAGAGGGCAGAGCCGTTAATAAGGTAGAAGTTGAGACGTCCGTTGGTCTTCGTCTATTAGCCTCCGATTTCGTCAAATATATCATCACTCAAGTAAAAAGGTGCTGACCAAATGGGATGCGATCTGAACCCCATTCTTCTTCTATCTGCATCGTAAGCTCAGGTTTACTTCATTTTCTACGTGAGTCAAGCCAAGGATGGGGCAACGATCACTGGAACACATCTAGTCGTTTTGCCAAACAATGCTGTGTCTTCGACTAGTCGCTGGTCATTATCGTTGTGGAAAGACCTCCACAATTTGATTGATATCGTATGATTATCCATGCGAGAGACGCCTAGAGAAATCTGTTTTCTGATCTGGCAACCGCTGGCCTGATGGATGCGGGACTATCCGAGGCGGTGCAGCAAACAGTCTAATCCGTAGGGCCGCACCGCAAATGTGCAATCAAATGCAGGCATGGTTGCTTGAATGCCTCTGAAGCAGACAGCCTGTCACGGCTAGCTCGTCGGGGCACCTATGGATCTACTGATCTGTTGTTCCTCGTTATGGGACGAAGAAATCAGTTGATGTTCTCATATGGCCGAGTTGCTTCGTTTTAATTGCTCATCATCTGAACAAGACTCTATGACCTGGCACGTCATTTAACATTCCCCCTGACTCCAGCAGGGATATGCAAAAGAAAGCAATGTGAACGATTAGAACGTACCTGTTTCAAGCTTATTGTGCTAGCACTTGTCTAACATATCGATGGCTGTTCTAGGAAAATGATCCTACGCCTTTTAACTAGATTTGCATTAGCGGCCTCTAAACAATAGGGATTGTAGACTGGCTTTTGAACACTAGATATTATGTTAGGCTTGTAATCATACAGTCTTGTTATTCACCTGTATACAAATAAACCAGCCATTTGACAGTCACTTGGTCGAGATATGAATGGGCTTTTGTAGTTGTCTATAACTATGCGTAGACCGTGGGTATTATGCTTTTGAATAAACAAGTTCTATGACGAATGAATTCGCCATTCCACTCTGCACTGAACAAACGAGTCTTAAGTGATCTCTCGTTTCTTATCTTACGGGCATAGAGATTTGTAGAGCTTGCCGCTCATCTTGGAACCTCTCGCGTTTCCTGCTAGAATGGAAGTCGCAAACCTCGGCCTTGTTCCCAGCGTCTTCACAACCAAAGAGAACTTCACACGCATGTCCCTCCTGCATTCCTCATCTTGCTCTGTCATCACTATCCTAAGCGTAGTCTGTTGATAGTCACCAACAACACGCTCACAAGAATAGGGCGGGATGTTCGAGCGCCGTTTGCTTGGAGGTAGGTCGTACCGCTCGACGCTGGAAAAAGATGATACGGCCCAAACACAGCGTAGGACGTCAATGCCTCCCCCGGGGCTTTCTCTATTCTGCAAGTGCAGGTAAAACATCCCCCCTGGTTTTTGACCCTAGTCACGCAAGCAGCATCGGCCAACTCCGTATCGCGGACCCTGGCATCCTTGGTACGCCTCCAAACGTCGGTAACGAAGAACATAGGACTTAGGCTCGTGCAATCAGTTCTTGAACCAAAATACAAAAACACAAAAAACAGACACTATCCATCACCCCACGACCATGGCGCTCTTGCTGTTGTGTTCTGACGCAGACCCTTCAGGGATCAACGTAGCATACTCAGGCTTGTGCGATGCCTTCTCACGTGGGACATAACACTCGAGTTCTAACGTATGGAAAGAAGGACTGTAGAGCTGTTCTCACCTTCGTCCATCCTTCATCCCGTGCCTTCCTTATCGTCGCCGCTTTGGCCCAGGGGCTCGGTTCTGAGTGGGTACGCTTGAGGACTTTTAGAGCCCGGCATCTTGATATTCGAGTCCATTTGAGATTACAGAGCCTTTAGAGTTTGAGACTGCTCTCAGCATACCGGCATATCCCCACATACCTCGTGACCATGAGACAAATGCAGAATGTGCCTATCGTCGTTTGAAAGGATGGTAAGAAAAAGGCGGGCGGGTAGAGTTTGGCACTCGGCATATCTCGTCCTCTTGTCATGCTGGAACGTCTGCTTCCTTGTGCGACAAGGCGACGTCTTGTGTCCAATGGAACAGACAGCATGTCAGCAAGGCCGGCGGCAGAAAGGGAATTCATCAAGGAAACATACACACCCATTACCCCAAGAGACACGCTGCTGAGTTGTTCAGAGTTCTGCGACCCAAAGTCATGAGTCCTACGTCCTACCCAGCATCATGATACTAAAACGACACCCTGGAGAGAAGCCAGTTGTGGGAAGTCTAGACTTCTGAGGTGGCAGTCTTTCCTGGCATCAACATCTGCCTCGGTTCCCATGGCTTGGAATACCCATCAATCAGCCTCAGCGAAACCAACCTAAACGGCCAAAAGTGCAGTAACGAGAACCTCCCCATGTCTCAACCACATCGCCTGATTTACCCACCCTTTTCGGACCACAAGTCTCACCTCAGCTCCGTCACAGCCCGGCATCTGAAGGAATCCCAAATCATCATCCAGCGCGCACGTCTAACACACTTACACCGCAAATTGCCCCTATCTGTCGCCGGTGAGAACACCTCGCCGTGTTCACCCGAAGCCAAGTCCGCCAAAAGTTGAAAACTGAGATGCCAGACTAGAGGGAAACAAGCCACCAAGCAGAACGAGACATGCTAAGCTTTAGCCGAGACGGACGACGAGACAAGAATGCTTCCCTCTTGTGCATATACCGTGATAACTGACAGGGTGCGGGCCAGTATCGGGCCACCTTGGCACGGCAACGTGTCGTCGATGAGCCAGCAAAGCCCGGAGGCTCAGGTCCTAGCCCACGAGCATGTAACCACCACGTGCCAATCTTGTAGGCTTCTGAAGGCACATTGAAGCGCAAATGAGGCTCACCGTTTACTCGCGCAATCAAGAAACGACTCAACAGCTTGAAAGATCGCCGTGGGAGATCCCTTGATGTGGCCACACCGCTTCGCCGGGCACCCTCCACCTCCAACCCCCCTGACGGCAGCGGTTTGCGACGGGCAGTACCAACCCGGACAATGCTCCTCTCTGGTTCACACGAGATAAGAAAAACAAGTGTGGAAAATACGGAGCTGTACATGATCTCAATAGGGCTGACTAGTGAGCTTCCATGAACATCTCAGGTACCCGTGGGGTGCTGCGGGCACTAGGAAGGGGGGTGGGCGCCGGCTCAAGTATGCATCGTGAAGTTGCACCAGAGGTCACGACATGCCACGTGTGGCAGACGCTTTTGAGCCAATCCACAAACCTGGCGACATGGCGCTTCCCAACGGAAAGGAAAATGCAACGACTGGGGGGCTTTAAGCTCCTTGAACAAACGAGCTCCCCTTTCACCAGGAAAAAAACAAAATTGACATCTACCCGCGGCCACACACTCGCTAGGGTTCGGCTGACGTTTCCGCGGGCTGGTGCAGACGGGAGGGTACGTGCTGGCGTAACCCAGCACGCCAAACTGCTGGGAACCGGACGGGCCACTGAGCTGCGAGCTTCTTTGCACGAGGTCGCCGAGACAGGTGAAGGCAGGTGAGTGTTCGACATCACCGCCAATCCGTTGGCCAGGGGGGCCAGGGCACGCAAGAGAGAAGCGGTGATGGACCGTACCGCCTGGCGGCCGCAGTCTCGACATTCGGGTCATTTCCCTCGTACAATCAATCACATTGGCAGGAGTAGGCTCTTCTGGGTCATCCAAAACACCTGCACTGGCACTTGCACTTGCACTCGCGCCGATGGAGCGCCCTGGGCGGGTAGAAGGGATATGCGAGGGCCAGACGAAAGGACAACGACAAATGAGAGCGTAATTGAATGACGAACGGGAAAGCGAAATGCTCTTGGCACCAATACCAGCGCATCCTACCCACAGCCTCTTTTACCCGCCCACCTAAGCCGGAGATGGATCGAGTTGCGGCCGAATGCCCTTCGGTTGTGTATGGGATTTGGGGCATGTCTTTCGGACAGTTCCCCGGTTTTCAGTCCCCCGAGCAAACAGGGACTCGGCAGGGCCAAGCATTTCGCAGAGGTGCGGCGCACCTGCCAGTTGCAGGAGGGACGCAGTGAAATTACCGCTTGCGGTCGTGGGACGTTCGGAGAGACGGTGAGGGGAAGCCGCCCTGCCATTGGGGTGGAATCAGAGCTGCAAAGCCAAGCCAAGCCAGCCTGGGGCCGGGTGGGAGGAGAAGCAGAGGTCCGCAATTAAGAGGCCGCCAGCTGCAGCTATCCCATGCTTGTAACTCGTCCTGCAGACTTGTGCAGATACCCCAACCCAACCTCACATGTAGGGCCGGCAACAACAGGCGGCGCGACGGAAAGGGTGTGGAGGAAGCTCTGACCTACCCCTCAGAGCCGTTGAACAGCTTGCGACTAGCATAGCTGCTGGAGCTAGGAGGGGACGAAAAAAACAACAACCCAAAGATACCCGGCGCCTTCGCTTGTGTTAATCGGCAGGTGATCCGTCCTGGGCAGATGAGCATCGGGAGTGTTGTCGAATCAAGTCGCGTGCTGACCAATAGCAAAAGACGGGAGTTGCGCCAGGCCGTCGAGAGGCACAGACAGAAACGGGCGCCGCAGCAGCGGAAAAGCGTGTCGAGTCGACAAGTCGAAATGAGTTACGCCAGGCCATATGAGGGGTTGAGAGACATGGATGAGAAATGCCTCATAGTAGCAGAAAGCAACTGCACGAGTGGGGAGTCGTGGTCGCGTTTCTGACCCAGTGGCAGGATCATGTCTGTACGATTTGTCTGCCTGGCCGCGTCTCTATCCGCAACTGAAGCAGCCATGAGACTGCGAGGGGGGGGGGTGCAAGTAC